TTTTTTTCTTTTATAAAAAAAATGAAAATAGACTGATAATTTTGACGTTTTGAAGGAATGTTGTGCAGTTAGGTCTTTGATATTACCGATTAGTGTAAATTGTCTCAGAAAATTTTCTGGTTTGTGTTTGGTAGTTCAAGAGCTTGTTGTTTGCCTGTTTTTTCCTTCTGTACAGGAAAAGCTGTCTCACGTTTCTCATTGTGTTTTCTTTGACCTGGCTGCTAAATTTGTTCCACTGAGGCTGTGACTAGAAATTTCTAGATTGTCTAATTATAGCTTGGCGGTCTTGTGAGTTGTCAATGAATAATTGTGGTTTTCATTGTTTGAAATATTCTCTCAAATATACTTTACAGGAAGGCATATCACATTATCAAGAGGAAATTTTCTTCATTCCAGATTACAGTCCTGTTTTGATTTTACAGATCCTTAAAGTAAACCACTGTTAGCAACTTTGGATGTTTTTGTTCAGCTTGATTTTTTTACGTATCGTCGTTGATTCCCTTTTATGTTTCTGGTATGTTATTGTTCTTGTAAATTTTTTGCTATTATTCAGCAAAACTACTTCACTGTACCACAGGAGATTTGCAATTTGTCGCTTTTTTTTGGAGATTTGTGCGGATTAGTCCATCGATTTCCTTATTTCTCTTTTTTTTTTTGAGCCAAATCGGTTTTCTTTTCTTGCGCTTTTTCAGTGAAGTTATGTGACTTTTAGTGCATATTCATGATGAATTTGTTGGTGTTGACTCGTTTTTTGCTCTTTATTTTCCACAGAAGTCGTTTCAATTGTTGTACATTTTTGGTTGATAATATTTTTACTTGGGTTATAAAAATTCTTTCAAAACTTCTTATTGCTTTAAATATCAAATTGCATTCTAATTGTTACTTTCGAATATTTTAAACTTCCAGCTTTTCTCTGCATTTCTTGTTTTGTGATTACAAAAGTTTGGTAAGTTAATAACTTGAAAACAGCCTGTTAATTTGTTTCTGATATGCGAAGGAGGTTAAACTTATTAAAATTTACAGTAAGAACTAGTGATTTTCTACGATATTAGTCAGATGTTGCTGAGTACAGTAGTACCTTTTCAAGAAAGGTTGAACTTTGGACTCTGACTTTTGTCAGAGACATGTGACAAAACGCAAGTAATTTGGAGGACTTTCTGCCTGATGATGGCGTTCTGGCGTCTTATAAAAGGATTGCGGCAGCTGCTTCTTTTTTTTTAGTCCTACTTTTTTGATCAGCTGGTTAAGTCGTTATCAGGGATGAAAAGGAGACGTAGAGTAAGTCAAGACGATAATGATGAGAAGCAAGGACGCTTGGATGCGGCTGCGATGCAGGTGGAGGACTGGATGGCTGAAACAAATATAGGAGAGGAAGGACTGAGTCGACTTGAGGCTTTGGGACAGGATGTCAAAGCTGTGCTCTTGTCCGCTAAAAGAGAGAGGAACCCTTATGAAGTACTTCTGCCCTTGCAAAATCTATGAGAATTTGCTGTTTCGGACTGAATATTTCAATTTTTTTTTTGAATAAAAGTAGGGTGTTGTATGTTTTGGGGTGTGTGTGATATAGTGTTGGTTTGCAGGTCGACGATCTGAGTTGGCTTTTGGAATACTGTATACCATTTCCTCTAGAACTCCCTTTTGGGCTTTCATTGAGAATTGCGAATTGGCCAGAAGAATTCTGCTGGGAACCTCCTAGACAAATTGAATTATTGTCTGTTGGGCATATGTTCGCTCCAACCAAGAGCGAACCAGTCTTACATATGGAACTAACAGTTCCTGAAGTGTGTCTTACTGGTATTTTCATTATTTTTTTCAAAATAAATGGTATAAGAGTATTTTGTTTCGAGTGTAATAGTAATAAGAGTATTAATTAGTGAAATAGCGGTGTTGTTTTTTAGAAAGTACTTGGTGCTAAGGACTGCTCCAATCTTGTTTATCATATTAAACGGGCTCTCTATCTATGCTGGCTGGCGAAAATTTTAAAAGAAGCCGACTTTTATGTTGAATTTTCGCATGAGAACTTCGATCACTTGCGTCAATTTTTGACTGTCATGAGAAGTCGTGAGTTATTGGAGCTTCTGGAACCCAAAACTTTTTCATATCCCATTTGTTCAGATCTTATTGTATATTTGTTAGAACACTATTATTCTTAAAGAGAAATTTATTTTTGGATCAGGGCATCTTTTTCCTCTCCCATTGTTTCTTTTGGTTGTTTATATAAGCAGAATTTTTAAAGAAGAAAGTGTGGACAAAGGAGCGATACAAATCCATGTTTCTCCAAGTAGGAAGTCTGTAACGCTGTCTGATTTTTGTTGCGAGAAAAGTAATATGAAACTTTCATTGTGTTTTAAATCGCCTGATAAAGCAGGTAGGTTTTTTATATACTATATCAGATTGGATTAAGCAAGCATATGTAGATGACTACTTGCAGTCGTTTCTAGTTTAAGTAAATTTCGTTGTTATTACCACCTTTATTTGGACTCTCTACTGAAATATATTTCTGACGCCGAAACCATTTTCAGACATTTCACTAAAATTTTGATACTTTGAACTTTGAATTTTGTAATTTTGTTCAAACTGTTCATCATTTAGAACATCCTACTCCATATTACAATGCCTGCGTACTAGAGGATTGTTTGCGTCTGAAAATGACTCGGTATTTTGCAGAATTTTTTAAAGACAAGTCGAACATAATTAAAGGTATTTTTATGGTTCGAAAATGGCTCGAAGTTAGGAATCTTTTATGCGTAAGTTTACAAAGTATTCTCTTCTTGGTTTTTAAAAAGTGATTGGCAATTTCATTTTTTCATTTTGACAAATAAGTCTTCATTAGTGGTGATACAATATTATAATAAAGTAGGCGATAAATATCCTGATGTTTTAGGTTTCAAATTTCTTTTTTAAGAACTGTGTTATGTTTTAATTTTTAGCGCGAAGACGGTTTTAATGATTTTTTGCTGAATGCGTATTTCGTACATTTGTACAAGTCTGGAATTGTTTCTGATCAGACATCTGTGATTGACAGTATTGAAGCTTTTTACGTCTCCTTAAGTAAGTGAAAATATTTCCATTGCCGCTTACTAGCTCTACTTGAAATGGTGTTTTCAAATTATTATTTTCATACTGAAGGACTTCAGACGATTTTTTCCGTTTCCTTTTACATCAACAGTTTAGTACGTAGAGAACAGAAGAGATTAATTTAGAAACTGTAGTACTTTTTAATCAGTAGGAGCCCACGATGTATGTTGTATTAGGCTAAAGCAAGAATAATCCGCTTTTTGCACGTAATACGTTGCTTGGCGTTACCACTTTTTAGAGCTAATAGGAATCAATAGATTTTGCCAGAATTTTTTACTTTTTTGCCAGCAATCTAGTAAGGGGTGCACTTCTTGTGGATAAAATATTTGGTCAAGGGAAGTCTCAAATTTTCAAAAGGCTCTTTTTGTCTCTCATCGTATCCTTCATATTTCTTGCCTCATATAACAATCGAGAGCATGGAAGAAGTGTTTGTCGGTAGGGGAAAGACGTAGAGAGTTTGGCGAATCAGGCCGCAGTTGGACGTTCAGTTGCGAAAAATTCTGATGGATTGTCCTTAACAAATGAGGTTTCGCGTTGCTTGCAGTCAAGCAAGTCTACTTTTGTCTAGCACCGTGAACCGAACTTTCATCAGAAATGGCTTGTAAGTAATGACAGTAAGGTTCCATTTATATGATTGCGGGGTAATGTGTTTTGATGTATCATCTTTTATAACATCACCACGCAGTAGAAAAGGTACTGTTGGGATGTTAGTCTGGTTTTTAGAGGCTGTTAAAAAGAAATTTTTCTCAACCTAAACGTAACCGAGTTCCCATTACCAGCAACTATATTATTCGTTTTAAAACCTCAAAGACGTGTTGTAGTCAGCGTTGAAAAGTTGCGACTTGCTTCCTCTTTTTAAACAATATGAAATTCACTTTCACATTTTTTGACTATCGTTCTCAAGCAAATGTCTGGCGGTTACGCTATTACCGTAGAGATATTTGCGTAGAAGAATAGCTTCAACTTTCATCCACGTACGTGCGTCATCAGATTTTGGACTTCAGCCGTAACCTTCATCATTATTGCTCGTACCTTTAAAACCAAATTTCCCAACTCAAAACTGCATCATTTCAGCACCAGGATTTGTATTTTCCTAAATGTCTGCGTTATTGTCAAGCTCAACGCGAACTGAATGAAGCATAAACTCTTGTAAAATAATAATTGGAATCACGTTTGTTCACTTTAAGTCCTTCCACCGTAAAAATTCAGCACCTTTATCCTCGCAGAAGTTTTCTGGTTTTAGAAAGCAGATTCTATGGACATCAAAGGTTATAGGCAAACAGCATTCAAACTATTAAGCAAATGTTATTAGAGAAGTGGATTACTTGTGGCAGTTTAAGATTTATGATAATAATTGCTATGAATGAGATGGAATTTTTTTTAAGTAGAACGATCTTTCAGGCAATTGTAACGGACTTGAAAAACCTTATTCTTTGTCTGATGTCGATGATACTAAATTTGAGTTATATCAGAAGGCATTCGATTACGTTCTTCTGGATTTAACTGGGTGCTTTAACATCGCTTATAAAATGACTCCTCATGTGTTCGATCAGGTCACTCTAGCTGCTGCTCAGGCTGTTGGGAAAGTATATTTGTTCTCAGAATTCGAAAATTTGTTTGTGAATAGGCATTCATTCCCCCTATCCTTCGATGTTTACTTCAGGTATCAAATACTTTTTTTTTCTATTCTAGCTCCATTTTTTCAATTTCGGTCTTGGAAATCATTTTTATTTGCAATTATTATATTGAACTCTTGATTATTTGCGAAAGCATTTATCCGATGCTTCTCTTTAGTCAACTGAGGTTTCAGCCTTTTTTTTTATGATCTTGATGTGGTACTGTCGTTCCAGGTGTATTGTAGATGAAAAGTACCTTAAAAAAATATTTTTTCCGCAGTATTATTTTGAATGTATAGACCGTTGTGGCAGTTTCACCAGTGTTTTTAAGAGGAAATCTGTTGATTTGCTGAAGAAAGCTTGGTCTGCTCGAGTGCAAGTTTTTGATATACAAGCTACTGTCTCTGATTCTTCGCAGGTTTGTGTACTGCAGATATTCTATAAAGGTGGTGGATTAAATATATCTAATTTCAGTAGTGTTCTTATCTTCCACTATGGAGTCTGTATAAAGGAGAGTATGACCTCGCTAAAGTTTTGAATATAATGACTGGCCCTAATTAGGGTGACATTTTACTGCAGTTTTTTAAGCTAATTTCTTTGAATCGGCATGGGGCTAGTTATGGTGTGGAACTGATATTTGGAGCACAAGTGCTGGATGGATGGGACTCTTCCTTAATACGTGGGCCGCAAGCAAAGACGAAAGAGGCAGAAGATTTTCGGAAGTTTTGGGGTGAAAAGTCTGAGTTACGAAAATTCGCAGACAATGCAATCTGTGAAGCTGTTACTTGGGATAAAGCTGCTACATATCAAGGCACTTTATTTGATATATTCCGTCATATCTTGAACAGGTAGTTGCAATTTGTGTTTTGTACCTTCTTTGAGTAGCTAAACGTATTAGGGAGAAAAAAATAATTTTTAAACTTCTATTTTTTGATGGGTTTTAATAAGATAGCTTGGTTTTCAGACTAAATTGATTGATACATTATGGTAAAAAAATGACGCTTTGTAGGAAAAATTCTCTTGTTTTTTTCAGACACTTAAGAGTACCTCTTACAAATTTTTCCGAACGTCCCTCCAATTTGGACTGTATTGCTTACTTTGATTCTTCGCGTTACGATAAGATATCAAAGGCTTTTGATAAGTTGTCGCAAACCTTATCATTCATTCAAGATTTACCACTCCTAATCACAAGCGTTCACCCTGTTTCAAATTTTTTAAGACGGACTTCGGTAAGGTATTAATATTCTAACGTCACGAACAATTAATTCTTTAAAATTTTAGTTTGGTTATTCCAGCCGACGCCAAGTCGTTCGACTGAAAATTTTGCCAAGAAGTATTTGGTGGAATCAGAAAATTCGATAGCGTTCCCAACCTCGCACAGTGCTCCCCCTTATATAGAGTCGGTGGAAGGTAAGGAAATTACTCAATCTTAGAAGAATGCTGACTGTGTTTTTTAGTTCACTTGTATATGGAGCAAAGCGGGAAATGGGGTGAGGATTTAGACGCTATTGCCCATTTGAAAACGGCATTTTACATTGCGCTGTCGAAGATTCTGAAGGATAAAAATATATTTGCAGTTCCCTATTCGAAGCATCTTCTTATTTTTCTCGTAAAAATATTTATTTTTATTCTCGATTATGCTTTAATATCGTGCGTTAATCATATTTGAGGCATGGAAGAGAAATGGCTTTCTTGTCAAAACAGCAAATCTATTTTTAAAATCTATTTGTTCTTTGCTAATTATTTCGCTTGTTCTACTGTCTTTCTAGGTTACAGATGTAGTTGAATTTCTTTCATTTGGCATTTATAAGCAGTATTCAAGTGAACTATTTTGCAATTTAGGAAGTATTTATAGGACTCTGTTGTATTTCGAGCGTTAATTGTGACTCCAAAGGAGGTACATTTAAGCCGAAAGCTTGACGGATTGAAATACGGAGTTTCGAAAGAAAGTGTTGCGACGAAACTTTTAGAGCGTGAATTGGTCATAAAGCCCTGCCTGACTGCGTTTCTTCTTAGGTGGAGCAAGAGTTAATCGTCTGATACTAGTCCTTTCTGTTTCTAACAATTGTCAGTCTCACTTTTTCAGTGTCAGTCATCAATATGTTGCCTTCTCGGGAACGTGCCGTTTAGCAACTTATTGGCTTTCTTCTCAAATGCTTTTTGGTTACATTGATGAAATTATTGTAGAAACAATCGTTGCCTCAATTTTCATCAACCCATTTTTCTCTGCTCCTCCACGGTTTACTTTTTTTTAAACGATTTTTTAAGTCACAAAATTATTTTATTTTCTTTGATGATCACTGTTCTGCTTTTTTAGTACTTCATATATGGGGTTTCTTCATTTTTTGTTGCTATTGTCGACACACAGTTGGTTGGTGAAGCCACTTTTTGTTGATTTCAGTAATGAATGGAAAGGTTCATTTTTAAAATATTAAGTGCTTCGCTATTTTGTCTCATTTCTCACAATTTATTACAAGGTTTTATAGAGTCAGACCACGACGAAATGGTTAGTGTTTTTATTAAGATGCGTCCTGTTCTCCCTGCAATGGTAGTCTATTCTTCGGCTGATCCTTCTGGTATTCGGTAATATTTATTCTTCTTACAATTTTTAAAATTTGCAGCTTTTTATTGTGAACGGTTTTATGAATATTTTTTCCTTTTGCTACGTTTTAAAACTTTCTTAGTCGTTCCACTATACGATGGAATTTTTTAGGTGGACAAAAGATGAACCAAGACCTTTGGTTTTAAATCGTATCGTACGTTTAGCAAAATCCGCTGCAGAACTACTTCAGAAGAATATTGTTAATAGTGTTCCATTAGTATTAGAAGTGAGCTTAATTATTGTTGAAATAGATTCGGATTTGAAGTTTAAGCTTACTGTGACGCTATGTCTCAACTTGATTCTAATTTACTTTTTCTTTTTACAGAATATTTTTGAGCCTAACCTTTCTGTATTTGATGCTGTGATCTACATAACTGGTTGTTTCACTACGAAGAAGCATAAGTTTTTTCGAGCGCCTCAGAGGCAGTTGGTTCCTGTTTGCGATTACGATCCGGTTGAGAAATATGTAGTGAGCTTACGCGAAAACTTCCATTCTATAGCTCTTTTTTTCTTCGACAAATATAATCATAATGACAAAGTCGGCGTTGTTTGGAGGAGAAATATACTAGATGAAAAAGTGGCTAATGTAAGTTTTGATCCTCTGGTTTGTTAAACTGGTTTTATTACGATCGATCATCTTTGCTTCTCCAGGTCTCGAATAGCCTCTGCAGGATCAAAAAATCCAACGGAAGAGTAGAAGTTAATTTACAATCAGTAATGGAAGATTTTGTTTTACTTGGTGGGGAACTTGTTGATAAAGTGGTTCCAGCGTGCAATTTTAGATTTTGATTTTAGTTCAGTTATTTGCATTATAGTTTTTTCTTTTGACTCTGAAGACCTAGTTCTGTCACTTATTTCATTCTAAGTTTTTTTTATGCCAAGGGTGTTGGTGCATTTCTTACATGTTTCTAATACAGAGAAGAGAGAAACATCTGGTTTTCAAACTAATACAACGTTAAAGGTCACGGTTTTATTCTTTACTCAATGTAAGCTTTAAGGTTTAAAAAATCTACATTTAATTTAGCTCAGTGGTTTAAGAGGTTTTATTCTAGGTGGAACCTAGGGCTGTAAATGTACTAGAGTTTAAATTGTCAGTGGAATAGTTTTTTGTTACTTATGTTGTTGTTGTTGTTTGCTAGATTAGTTATATTATTCTCTCCATCGTTGCCTCTTTTACTGTTGTGACATGTGTTTCTTGGTAGCTGTTTTTGAACAGAAAGTGTCTTTCAGAAGTGAAAACTTATGACTCAAGTTGTCATAAGTTTTAAAATGTTTTTAGAATGTGCTTTGAATTCCCACCCTGTTTGAGTCCTTCGCTGTTTTTCTTTTTAGGCGCGAAAGACTGACTGGATAGATATATGAGGTTCAATAAAGTAATTGCTTATGGCTACAGAAAAAGTTTTATTTTTTCCTTATCTACTGTTGCATGGTTTCTGAACACCCAATGATCAGCAGCTGTATATTTGATCATTCATACTTTTGTAAAGGATTCCGGAGACGTATTTTGTGGAAAATATACTTGTGTAGCCGTCACTGCTTACGCAGTGGCAGCATCAATATTAAAGTTAAGATTTTTCCAGGTGTGAGACGCTTTGTGGAAATGTTTTAGAGTGATGAGTTTTCAGTAGCCCTTCGGTGTTCTCGAAGGTCGTTTTGTATTTTTTAGAGAAATAGTGTGGTCAGCGAACAGTTTTTAGAGGGAAGGAAGAAGGTCTGCAGGGCAGAAGGGATTTAGGAAGAGAGTGTTTTTTAACCGCTGTAGGAGTTGGGACTGCCGGTGGGAAATGTGGGCATCTGTTACTCAGTAGTTGGGAATCCATTCTGCCATCGATTGTTACTTTAATTTTAATTGCTGTTCTGTCTTTGCGTTATACCATCCAATAACTTCTGTAAATTTACCATAAGATGGTTGCTTAGAATAACCTTTTAATCAGGTCTTTTCTCAAGATAAGCAGTTTAAATTAAAAGGTTAGTAGCATCATGACTTTAGATCCCTAAAAATGGAAGCGTGCGGCTTGAACGAAGTAACAGCAATGCTAGAAAGCGCCGCAGTGACTCCAGATAATACTGCTGGTGAACACCCTCGGTTTTCAAAGTACAAGAACGTCAAACGTGCTGAAGAATTACAACAAAAACGTCGGCAGGAGTTCCTCAGACATCAAAAAGAGTATTGTTTTTTTCTTTTCTGTGTTATAACGTTTAAAATTCTTTTCCATACTTTACTGGAGAATGACGAGCGCTTTCGCATATTTATAATTTGAGAATTACTTTCAGTGTGCTTTTTACAGCGAAATTGGAGTACATTATCTTATGGAAAAATAAGTTGTGTAATAACTCTTGTTTAGAGCTAAATTTAATTATTCTAATCACGCTCGGAAGTTAGCAATGAATCTCTTCGACGAAGAAGACGATAACATGGATATTGGTGGTAACGATTCTGCTACCAGTGAAAAAAAGAGACGGCGAAAAAGAAATAGATATGCAGATGAGTTAATGCTTAGTGAGTGGCTAGTGGACATACCTGAAACGCTTTCAAATGACTGGATATTCTTACCTTGTCCAGCTGGCAAGAGATGTCTTGTAGTTGCCTCTAATGTGCGC